AATATCTTACAAAAGTGACATTCTCAATAAATCTAATTAATTTGCGAGTGGAAAATTACAATTTCTGTGCTGAACCGGAAGTTTATTCTCTAGCGACAGATGGGTATAACCTTTGGAATGCTAATTCAGTTGCATTCGCGTACATTAAAATTTTATTTCTATCGAATTAGAGAATTTTAAATTCTGCAGCAGATATAGATCTGCGGGATACGACAAACTTTAATATTTATTATTACTAAAACATTTTACTCGATACATATGTTTAGAATGAAATAAGCTACTATATACGACATTAGGATCGTATAAACAGCTTATAGACTGAAATATCTAATAACAACTAAAATTACTAATCTTACAATTCAACTCATTTCAAATTTAATGAAGAATCTATGGTTGAAAAACAAAATAAAGTTCGCGGCCTTCTGTTTGCGGTATTCCGAATAAAACAATTTAATTCATATTTTCTGTAATAGCACTAGAAGCGCAACACTTAGCTTCCAAAGCTAGTATCAATAGAATCTGAATTCTGTACGTAGATACGAGTATCGAAAAATACATATGAATGTGTAAATGGAATTTAGGGAAATCAATAAAGTTTACTGATTATTTAAGTGCGTTTCTCTGTAACTTTTTTGACTATATGCAGAGTGTATAAATACTCGCGCGTTTTCTCATGTCTACAAATGTCTTGAGAAGTTCATCAACAATTATATACAGATACTAAGACTCAAAAATTTAAAAAAATAATAAATATAAAAGAAAGACCAATACTTGGTCTGTAGTTCTTTCTTTTATATTTATTAATTCCTTGAAAACTATAACTTTCCTTCGATGACAATTTGATTATTATTAAAGATTATTAATCGCAATCTTTAAGTAAAATCTTATATAGGTATCGAATTTTTATTTAAAAAAATATCAGCTTATGCTTTTATTATGTTTTTCGAAAGATCTTTAATGAAATGAAATCGCTCGATCTCTTATACACCCTATACATATATTATCTTTTACGTGTATCTCGTTATACATCTTTGTATACAAACCCGGACACTAAAAATTGTTATATATAATTCGAAAGGAACGATGATAGCAACGTCCTCGGACAATTCAACGTAAGAAACGGCATCAAGAAGAGAATGCTAAATTTTTCGATTATTGTACATTGGCTTCTTGTCCCCAATTGAAGCCGCCTGGCCGGTCTTCTGGTGGTGGCATATAATCTGGATCCTCAGGATATGCATCAAACAAAGTCTTTCTAAGAAAGAAAAATTATATTATTTCTTAAACTATAGAAATCAAAGCCTTAAACGGTCTAGCTGGATCTTAATGCTTGTATGATTCTTATATGAATTTATATACTACGTATGTAGTCCCCAGAAA